TTGTGGGAAGTTATCAAGACGGTTTTGTGGACGGACCAAATCTTTACATTGCGGTAGATCCTCCAAAAGTGTCGTGAATATCAAGTCCCTACGCTAAGCGCTAAGCGGGCTTGAAATCGATGAAAAAATGGTGCTATTCATCGATTTCAAGCTCGCTTATGATGGTCTTTCCTGCCTCCTGTTGAACATTGCGCTAGAAGGTGTTATGAAACGTGCGGGCTTTAACATGCGGGGCACGATCTTCAATAAGTCCAGCCAGACTATCTGCTTCGCTGACGACGTGGACATTGTTCGAAGAACGTTTCGGGCCGTGCAACAAAAAAAAAGGTGATTACTTAATTATTGCTACTTGAGCATGGATTGTTATGATTTTTACAAATGTGCATACTTATTTTCGCTGGATACTAAAAATATGGTTTTCTCCACGCTTGAAAAGTTAAATTTACTTGCGAAATTCTAAGTTTAAATGAAGCATGACGGTATTTTTAAGTTTGAAATTTTTCAGGAGGTAGTCATTGGGGTGGTTCAAAATATTGATTTTGCTCTACAAAGGCCAATCGATTCTAACCCTGCGCTTCGGTCAGAGAGCGTATAGGGCGTCGAGTACCAGCGACTTTGAACGTGAGCCTCGTCCCAGATCACCATGGCAATTCAATGACAGATGGTGGACATGAAACCGACCAAAAAAGGCGGAATCATATTAGAACCAACCAAGGACGATCTACGGAAGGAAATTGCCGGTGAAGCACGGAATGAAATACGAAGCGTCAGAGAAAAAGTCCAAGGGATTCTAAAAGAAGCAATTAACGACGGTGGAAGAACAGAGTATGGTGAGAGCTTTCCAATTATTTAAAAAATTAATAAATATCAAAATTAAACTAAAAATATGCCAGGTTTCAAAAAAATATTTTCTAACCTGGAAGTGTGTATATATAACAAATATCCATTTGATAACGGTGATGCATACATGCGGGGCTTATTGTGAGTGAAGGTAACCTTGGAATGGGGATGACTCTCCAGACATTCTGAAATGGGTTGCTGGATCTGCAATAGAGCTATCACCTTCTAACTCCCGGACTAAAGTTGTGTAAAATGAGCATAAATGCGACATTGTAGAGAGAGAGTTCTTCTATAATAACACTGGTGGCCAGTGGAGGTTAGAAGGAATACACACACCACACACAAACACACACACAAACACACACACAGACACACACACACACACACACAGACACACACACACACACACACACACACACACACACACACACACACACACACACACACACACACACACACACACACACACACACACACACACACACACACACACACAC